GTTCCCCCAACCCGCCCTCCCCCACCTCATTGTCCACTGCAGAAACAACTGTTCTCAAGTAATAAGTGGGGACTACCTGGGGACAAGTTAAGTATCTTGCCGGTGCTTGACACGCCTTCAGTCTGCATAAGCCTAGGAGGAAGGACTATCACGATCCTTCCTCAGTGTGGCAGATAAGGAAACAGAGGCTTAGAGGTGCCAAGTGACAGGGCCAAAGCCTGAGGCGCAGGTTGAATACAATCCGAGGCCAGCACCATGCCCATGACTTGGGCCTCTCAGAGCAGTTTCAGCTGGGATGAGGTCATGCTGGGAGATTAGACAGAGCCCTAGATTTAATCAGTGGTTGGGCAACCTTGGAACAAAGGGGTACATGGTCAGGATTGGCACTGGGGGTCCTGAGACTCACCCAAGGAGTGAGGAGGTAGAGGGCCCAGCCTTTCCTGTTTGTTTCCACAATGCCGTCAGCAGGAGCATGGCAGGAGTGCAACTCGATTTCAGACCCCGGGCTGGGCATCCTGCTTTGGGAATGCCGCCCACACTGGACAGAGTGTGCACTGGCCACCCGTGCTTCATCTGCAAGGGCAATGTGGTATTTTAAGACTAGTAAGATGATTTATTTACAGCTGCTCTTCTCTTCCTCTATTTTCTCAGTGGCAAGTAATTAAAAAAATGGAGATTATCCCAACCAAAATATTTATGAGTAAATAGCTTGCAGAAATGGTGAGGTTGCTATCTCTAACTAATTCCCGCCCCACCCACCACAACAAAGACAGAGAATGCTCCTGGAAGCATGATTGAATTGTGTGTAATTATTGCCAATGTTTTAAACATGATGGTAATGAGAAAAGTATTAACATCAGATTAGATTATTTATTTCCCTAAGAATATCACGACTGCTTCTAATTTCCATTCAAGGAAGGGGGAAATGCCTTCTCTCTATTCCCAGCCCGCTCGAGTCAATGTTACCATGATCACAATTTCTTTAGCGTGTTTCTGGAGATGCGACCCATGTGGCGATGTTTGAATGTAGGTTGCTTTGTGCAAACACAGTTCTCCTAGAACGTGTAACTATGCAGGCCTGTTCCTCGGCTGCTTTGTGGGAGCTGTTCCCTGAACATTCTGCTTTCTTCTTTGACATGCTCGAAGACTCCTAATACCTTGCAGCAAATAAATGAACATAAGGCTAAAAATAAATTCATATGTGACATTTAACACGGAAGGACGAAAATCCTCTTAATTTTCACATTTGGCTAAAAAAAGAGAAACGTTCTGGAAAAATCTCCTACTAGCTGAAAATATATAAAAACAAATGACTTTCCTGGTCCTAGTGCTGTTTTTTTTTCTGTTTGCACATTTTTATGGGTTGCCTGGATTATCTGGAAGATAATATGCAATAAGGTAAAGCAAATTCAAACAAAGGCATACTCAACTCACACATCATCAAAAGACTAATGATATTTTTACAAGGAATATGCCAAGATTGGTTTTTAAGGGACTCTTTTGGAAATGGTTTCCATTTGGGAAAAAAAAAAACTCACAAAAAACTAATAACAAACAAACTCCTCTTCCCCCCTCCCCTCAGCCATCCCCTGACCATCAGCTGCCCTGAAGAGCTGCAAATTGTAGTTATGTTCAGAAAAGTTGGAAGATTTCTGCTGGTGATTTTCAGTCTGGCAGCCAATATGATCAACTAAATAAGCCATTTATCAAACATTAGAAACCTTTATCTGATTTTATTTTGTAGTGCAGCCAGACATAGTTTAAAAACATGGATGGAGTCTCTAGAATAGAGTGGCTAAGTGTAGCTATAGAAAGAGAATAAAACAGAGCCCTATGAACCCAATCTCATGGAGTGGGATGTATGACCCTTCTTTTATCCCATCAATTCCCCGACCACTTCAGCAAAAGGCTCCAGCATGGGATTCCCGTTTACCACATGGGTCAACATCCCCTTTCTTAGAGCCCAGAGCCGCTCTCAGTCGGGTGGACATGAAGTGGAGAAATCAGATGATTGGATGATTTTACAAGGGTAGATTTAAGCTGGCACCTAAAATAATAATACTCTGTCTATATAACCGTGGTAGTTGTTCTGAGATAATACAAATGGAAGGAACATAGGTCATCTATCTGTCTATCCATCCATCTGTCCATCATCCCTCCCTCCCATCCATCCATTCATCTAAAAACTCTTACGTGTTTGGCAATAGAAAAATATGTACAAGGAACCAAGATCCAAGGTCTCCTCTTCATGGAGTGTATGGTATATGAGGATTTCAAAGAAAGTACCTAGTCAAGCTAGGACTAGACAGGGAGGCAAGCTTCCAAGTGAAAGGTGGTAATTATCAATACTGAGCTTCCGGTGTGAAAGGGCCATCGGCCGCCATGACTGTCGATCTTGTAGCTTAGCAGTCTTAGCACGGATCTGCTTCTCTCTCATGTCCTTCCTTTCAGCCCACACTCAACCACTCCCAAGCACCGTCGGGTGCAGAGGCCGGGAACATGCCAGAGGACGGGCAGACAGCATCCCTTTCGCCCTGAGCCTTGGAGCAGGGACAGGAGCAGGTTGGATGCCGGCACCCGCCTCTGCGTGCCCCAGGAGAGGTGTCCTGGGGAGTGTGTGGACACAGAGAAGAGAGAGTGACCAGGCCTTGGTCCTCCTTGCCGACCTTCTGTCCAAGTGAACCGTGAAAGACAGGGATGGCAGCTGGGCAGGTACCGAGGGCTTGCTCCGCGCCCATGCCTCCTGGGACTTCTATGTCATGTCTATGTCACCTCCGTCTTTCCCCTTTGCCAGTGCTTCCTGCCAGCATCCTCCCCGGGAGATGACGATGAGAGGAGAGGCCACCGCATGGAACATCGGCGTGAAAACCCCACATCCTGTCAGCCAAGCGCAGGGACCAGCGGGCCTGCGGGGCTGCCCCCTCGCTCCGGTGGGGTGAAGGACCTGGAACCCTTGGCACAGCCTGGCCACTCCCAAGGGGGCGTGGCCTGTCTGCACAGTGCCGCCAACGCACACCGCGCCACTGGAGAGCAGCCAGACTCAAACTCAAGCTCGAAGCCAGGCACTGGCGGCCCACACCTGTCTCCCCGGCTGCTCAGAAGGCTGAGATCTGAGGATCACAGCCCAGACAAGAAAGTCTGATCACCAGTGAACCACTAAAAGCCAGACACAGAGGTTCAAGCAGTAGAGCCCCAGCCTTGAGTGAAAAAGCTAAGGGAGAGCATCTAGGCTGCGAGTTCAAGCCCCACTACCCCCCCCCCCCCCCCCACAGCGTGACTCACATCGATGCCCACAGAGCCCTATGCAAAATGCCTTCTTGAAAAGGAATGGCTCACAGCTCTAGGCTGTACCCCCCAGCCAGCCTAGGTTTTCAAAGCACACCTAGGACAGCATGCCTTCCCATCGGCTCTCAGAAACAAAATGGCAGATAATCCCACATCCTCGAAGGGACCTGCCACCCTGGGAGGAGCCTCCTGGAGATGAAGACGTTGTAAGCTGCGGGGATGCCGTGGATGTGTGACATGGACACACGGGACAGACATGTAACCCGTCCTTCTGTCCCTTTAACGACCGGGCGCTGGGGCCTCCCTGGTGCACGCTCTGAATCTGGGCCCCTCTCTCCCACAGAATAGGCAGTGCTGCCGCACCGACGCTGAACTCTGGAAACCCTCTCGGAAAAGCGATGCTCGTCATTCATTGTCATTGATTTTCCCATTGCCATTAAATGCACTTCTCTTGTTTGGGGGGCTGCTTATGTACTGCGGTTAGAAGCGCGTAACTCAACTCTCATCACCACACCCCCATCCCAACCAGACAGAAGGAAGTAAGCTAGAAATACACTTGTCCCCCAAATAAACTTTAAAACACGAACGACATTCTACATGATGACTTTGGCTTGGATATAGACTTATAAAAGACTTCCCTTTAGAACAAAGAGAAGCTGTGATGGCAAAATCACAAACAAGACTGCACAACTCAGAGGGGCTGATCTACCCCACACCCTGGGTGGATGACCAGCATGGACAAGTGGAGGGCAGGAGAATGTTCTGGACTGAGGACTGGCTTCCGCCAAAGGCATTGAAGCGAGCCATGGAGGAGGCAAGGCGGTCTCCATGGAGCCAGAGGGCTTGTGGGGGGCGCCTGGGCACCCCCAGGGCCGAGCCTGGGCAGGACCTCAGGACCTGGGAAGTCTGGCAAGGAGCAGACCTGGGGTGGGTGGAGGGTGAAGAGTGTCTGGAGCTCTCAAGGTGGGTTCTGGATAATGGGGTTCCCCACTTAAGTACCGATGGGGAGCTAAGGGTTGATTTGAACTCAGCAGGGTCATGATGAAGTGTGTGGCTGGACCAAATTCAACACCCGACTGTCTCATGAGGCCCAGGGTGCATGGAGAAGGGAGTCCTACGGCTCCCCACGTCTCTGATCTCCAGAAAACTTGGAAATCGAGGGCAAAGAAACAAAACACCTCTGAACTTTGAGTCTTTCTGTGATGGCTGTGATCTCTGAAAACCTCCAATCACTGGGAAAAGCCGAGGTGTGGACGGACCGACGGAGGTCCAGAGACGGCCTGCTTGTGACAGACACAGGGTCTGGGAGATGGACGCGGTGTGGACAGGGCCCAAGGTGGAGGAGGAGAGAAGGCCCAAGGGAACACAGGAAGCGGTGCCCAGGAAGTGTGGCACGGTCACCCGAGTCCGCACCCATGCAGCTTCTTCTTTCCCCTCCCTCCCTCTCCTCTCCTCTCCCCTTCTCTCCCCAGTCTCTCCTCATCTGCAGAGTCCAGAGCCCAAGGACTTAATTGTGTCTGGAGCAGACACAGAGGCACCGGGTGGGGATTGCACACACATCCACCTGGCCACTGAGATCGGCGGGTCCCATGGCGTCCCACTTCCCGCTACAGGTTTCCCCATCCGGCCAGCTGGGTGCAAACATCTAGTTTCTGCGCCCTTGACTCCCACGCGGTCCCTCGGCCTGGAACCTCGCTGCATTTTCATGAGCTCACCTCCCGGTCCAGCAGCGCAGGGGACACGACCGTGACGATGTCTCCCTTCTCGGGATCGATGTAGAACATGTTGGGCGACGGCTTGTCAGGCGTCTGCTGGCGGATGTTGTAGCGCAGGAGGGCATTGTCGGTGGCGGGGTCGTCGGCGTCGAAGGCTGTCATCCTTATCACCGTGGTCCCTGTGGAGACAGGAGGGAAGGGCGGGGCTGGTTACCATGGGCCCGGGATGGTCAGACCACCACAGCCACGGAGAGACCTGCCAGTCACGTTCCAAATCACAACCAGCGAGCGTGGGCCAGGCTCGGCTCCGAGCTGGCTTTCCTTCCTCACTCTATCACATTAAAAGACCTGAAATAAAGAAAAGAAATCGGCGCTGTTTGGCGGGATGACAGCTTAATTTTTCCTTCCGCTGATGTGGCATTTGTTCTCCCAGGCTTCCCTTCCTTGGTGGCTATGGCTTACTGGGATGGCCGTCGCTTTCAGAGCTCTTAGGGAAGTACGTGGTGCACAGAGGCGAAAATCCAGTTAACATATATGAATAAAATTATGTCAGAGCCCCAAACATTAAAAATGAACAAAAGAATGTCTGTTGCATGTGCCTGGGCCACAAGTCAGGGAAACAGAGGCAAAAAGAGCTCATCCCCTGTGTCCTGGGTCTTACTTGGGAGGCCAAACATACAAGGAGGCAAAAATAAATCCTGGTGCCGGAAGCTCATGCCTGCAATCCTAGCTACTCAGGAGGCTGAGATCTGAGGATCGAGATTCACAGCCAGCCTGGGCTGTGAAAGTCCAGGAGACTCTTATCTCTTGTTATCCATCAAAAAGATGGAAGTGGAGCTGTGACTCAAGTAGTAGAACACAAGCCTTAAGCAAAAAAACAAACAAACAACAAAAGCTCAGGGACATCAGCCAGGCCCTGAGTTCAGGTCTCAGGAGTGGCACACACACAAAAGAGAGGTAAAAATAATCACACACACCAAGTGCAATGAAAGAAGGTGATGGAGTCGCAGAGCGTGGCTTGCCTAGGCATCTCAGCTACCGAGAGAAGCGAGGCCTGGCTGGCCATAATTCATCATTGCCATCAGTTAACTAACCAAGAGACCAAGGCAGGTGAGAACAGTTTCCAGCAGTTTAAGGGAGTGGTAGAGTTCGTCTAGCTCCGTCCCTTCCTCAGACTTCCTTTGTCTAATAACATTGCTGAAGAGTAAGATTATTTCTCCACCACTGTTGGAATCACGTTCTCCTCCATTTGAAAGACCATCAGGTCTTTCCTTGGAATCAGAGGCAGATCCTAGGCCCCGGACGGCACCCAGGGACATGCTAAGTGAGCTCGGAACGGCTGAAGGCAGGGAAGGAGGCCCTGACCCTACCAACGCGGCCCCAAAGTCTCAGGTTAAGTACACTGGACACCCTGCCTGTACCCAGCTAGCATCTAATGAATGCTTAATTGATTGAATTTGGGCCTTACTTACTCCGTCTTTAATTGAAGTCATAGCTGGACAAGAAGAAGTAGTCTAAAAATGAAGTCATTCTGACTCTCGACTGACATATACATGAAAATGATTGGAGAAGGAGATGGAGGAGTCTCAGGACCAGGAGCGTGGGAGCCGCTGTGACTCAGGAGGTTCACGGAGGGTTGGGTTTTTCACAGTCGACATTCCCCCCCACAAAGGTTCTCGACTGGCTCCACGACACACAGAAAACACTGTGACATGAATGGCCAGTCAGGGAACGGGCCAGCCTTGTCTCCAGCCCTGCCTCTGCCCGCCCAGATCAAGTGTCACTGGAGTATTTCTGTGTGGATCCCAGGCCTGTGGGGATGGTGCGCAGTCCAGAGTGTGCAAATGAGAAAATGACCCTGGGGTCCAGCGTCGGTGCGCCCTGGATCAGAACCTCTGCCAAGCCCCAGGCTCCCTGCTCACCGTGAGGAGATCCTCAGAGCACCCCGGTGCCATCCCTGGGAGGCTTTAATGGGGTGATCTCTTTCCAGAACTTGGTTCTGTGCCTATCAATGTCTGATAGACCACAGAGCTTTTCATCTGCTCCGAGTTGACCATGGCTGCGCTGAGTCAGAAGAGTTCCAAGCGAGCCGTCCACAGGACCCCAGCAGGGCCGAGGCACGTATGCAGTGTTGGTCCAAGAGCAGAGCCTGCAGCGTTTCCTAGACTGCATCTTAACAACACCGCTGGGAGATGAGCCACGCAGCCCTGGCTTTCAGCTCTTGGAGTGCCTGGCTATGAACACATGTCTAGGAGCGTGGTGTGGGGCCCCTGGTTTTGGCTACTTTGGTGTGGACCAAGTTGACTCATGAGCCTGTAATGACCTGGGGTTCTGCATCCATCCACCCTGGCCAGAGCCTCGGTCCTTCTCTACAGGAAGCATGTTCACCTTCGGATGCACCTCGCCACCACGCTTGGGCTCTCTGATGTTCCTCAGGCCCAGAGGTCACCACCACTTCCAGGTCAAGTTCAGCAGGCCACACATGGGCAGGTGTCCAGGTCCCGGCCCTGCCCAAGCCCTCGGCCTGACCTCTGACAGATCCTGCTCCCCTCCCCTCCCAGCATGCCTTGCAGCTCTGAGTGCTTCTAGATGTCAGGGGAGCGATGTCAGGGGCAAACTCCTATATCAACACACCTTCAAAGTGTCCTATCCTTCGGCTGCAGGTAAAATCTTTTTGGGAAGAGACTCGAAGCATGGCCAGAAGTATTCTCACATGGCCATCTTTCCTTCTTGAATTGATTTAAACTGAGCATGCGCAGTAGTGCACATGTTGAAGTACAGCCCTCCCTCCCCCACAAAGCACCTTCCCATAGGAATGTGGACGGCCTCCCTGAATAAAATCACTGCACACTCCCTTCATTCCAGGAGGAAAATTGTTCCAGAACCATCTCCCGTGCTCTCCTCACCTATGGCTGCTAATAAATCTTAGCTCTTGTTTTGCTTTTTCACTCATCAAGATGCAAAACCACTGCATTTGGTGACAAAGGCCATGTTACATTCCCTGGGGGGCAGCGCAAGACCACAGCAAGTCTGCGCTGAGACAGCGGCATTGCCGAATGGCACATGATCATAAAACACCCAACAGCGAAAAGAGGGAGCCGGTCCACCCAAGCCACATGGCTGTGGCCGAATCTCCCAAGGTGTGAGCTTCAGAGAAGAAGGTGACCTCTGCACCACACAGCTCACTACCTGTGCTTCGTTCCTCAGCTCCTCACTCCTGGGGTAAGGGGGTAGGAATGGCGGGCTGCCTCTCACGTCTCAGAATGTCCAGACAGGAGGAATAATCTGAGGCTCAATTTCCCGAGAGCACTGTTCAGGCTGCAGGGATGTAGAGTCCTCTGCTTCCAAAGGATCAGCCGGAGAGTTTGCCACGCCGGCGACTCTGCCTGGTAAGATCTCACCAACTCTTTGGCGGAGGCTGGTCTTGAACTGCAATCTTCCTGTCTTTATCTCCTGAGTAGCTTGGATTACCGGCATGCGACTACTACCCCCAGCCCATATCATATTCTCAGTATTAAGCAAGAGAGTAAATCGGGTTGCTTTCGTCTGGAACTAGGTGGTACTGATTTAGACAACATCGGAGTCATTCAGTCAAGTCTTTAGCATGCTCGAATATTCCAGCTGGTTTCTACTCATCTGTGTCCAGGGCTAGAAGTTCTGTGTCTGGGGATGTGGTAAGAGTGCTCCACTCATGGTTCTGGAAAAACCCCACATTGTCACAGCCACGCTCTAGCGTTATCAATCTACAAGGAGTGTGTGGCTGTGCACGCAATTCCTGTAGCTTAGTGGGACCCAGGGAGACCTAGATAACATGGAGCTGGCCTTCTTGGAATCCAGCCTCCATCTGCTGGGCCAAGAGACTGGGGCATGAGGACCCAGGTCTCCTGGCTGACTTAAGACCAGCCATTGTCCGTGTGTGGGATCAGCTCACAGAGCCTCCGGCCTCAGGCGAGCTCTAGCTGAGAGTGGCCCACGGGCATCCTCCACCAAGCCCAGCAGCGCAAGGAGGTTGCTCAGAGCCATGGGTTTTTGGCAAGGTGTGTTGTACAGCATTCGATAACCAGCAAAGATGTGTAAGTAAATGAGTCATTAACCTCCAGGAGCTGATGGTATGTAGAATTCACAATAGAACCTGGGGGAACTTTTCCATCTTAAATAATCTGGCAGATTTAAGAGGTGAAGCAAAACAAAAAGCAATGGATATAGAAAAGGGGAAACAGCTTCCTGCTGGGATCAATGACGGCTCTATTATCAAAGCAGGCAACAGGCTGGCCGCTGGGAGATTCCCAGGCCTCGTAGAGTTGTGTCTTCACTTGTATTTCTAGAATTAAGTAAACCTAACTTATTTCTAGAAAGTCTGTACTCTTGATCTAGCTTTGAACGAAGGCAGCGTCCAACAGGAGCCTAAGAGCTCTCCTTGTGAGCAAGAACACCTTCAGTTTTGAGGTGGTTGCTAACTTCGTTGTTCAACCGCAGCCCTAAGTGTCTCTGTGCGGCCGTGGCTATCACAGAGGTTTGATTTGAAATGTAATAGACTTTGCCTCCTGCATCCGCTCTCCCTCCTTGGAGCTAGTTGGGTTTTTTTAAATTTTAAAGACAAATTGGCAGTCAAATATGTAATAAATGATGACAAGTTGCGCAATGGCTGTTTCCCATCTGCTTCCAAAGGTGGCTTATTTTCGTGTGGATAAAGAGATGGTGGCGACAGAAATACCTTATGATTATTTCAGGCCCTCCGCTGCTGGCGCTCTGGCTTCACGAAGCTCTTGTCCTACTTTTTCCGGTGAGCTGTTGTGTAATTAGGCAGTGGTGGAGCCAGGTTATAGGGAGAAAAATCACTGGTCTTGAGATATTAAGTAACAAATGGTGCAGCGGCATCTTTCCTGTTGCGATTTGCTTTATGGAAATTTCTTTCTTTCATCTAGAACTTTCAGGTATATATATATATGTATGTATGTATGTATTTTTTTCTCTCTCAAACCTGTTGAAACAATCCTGTTTAGTCTTTTTGTCTCAGCATTTTTCGAGAGACCCAGGATGCCTAATGCTGAATTAACTCATCTTGCCTAAAAGACCTTTAAAGCACAAACTGTAAAACAATTTTAAATGGAAAGCCTGCCCCTGATATTCCAAACTAATGAGAAAAAGAGTCTTCATATTGGATTAGCAGAGAGTAGCT